CACAATAATGCCAATATTAAATATTGTTGTTATTACATGTTCTTGCTATCATATGAATGTAACATTACATATTACAATCAAATGAATGTAACATTACATATTACAGTCAAATGAATGTAACATTACTTGCTGCCATCATATAAATGTAACTTTACATATTCTTGCTAGCATATGAATGTAACATTACAGATTACTATCAAATAAATGTAAAATGACTTGTTGGCATCATAAAAATGGAACTTTACATATTGTTGCTATCACATGAATATAACATTACATGTTTTTGATAGCATATGTATGTAACATTAGATGTTCTTGATAGCATATGAATATAACATTACAGGCTGTTGCTATCATATGAATGTAATAGTACATGTTGTTGCTATCTTATAAATGTAACATTACATGTTGTTGCCATTATGTGAAAATCTTGTAACTTAGTCATTATCATTTGAAGTTTCCAGCTGCCCTTTACATCCAACATTTCAAGATAAATGGACCAATATATTTGTTGGCCCTTCTTTTAAGTTATCTTTTCAGTAAAATCACAGGTGTGTTAAAAGACTTCATTTCTTGAATTCTGGTGTACTTCTTGTCTGTCAGTACTAGGGGTGCAGGAAAAAATCGATTCTTAGATGCATCATGATGCGGACGTGAACGATTCTGAATCGATTCACAAATGTCAAAAATCGATTTTCTAAACATATTTAATTTATACTGTAATGTTGACGGAACGCAAAAGGAACTTGGAAGTTCGGAAGTGCAGCGCCCGGACAGTCTGTGACGGCACATAACAAAAACACTACTGGATGAGTGAGAAATCCGACCGGCTCCCTCTGCGTTAAAAGCCAGGTTAGGTCAGGAGTCACAACACAAATGATAAGAAGAGCCATTTTGTCCTTTCAACAAAAATCAAACCAGCTTGGCAGCCGCAACATTTAATGTCCAGTATGGGTCAGTGTGTGATAATGTCCTAGTATAGACTAAACAATATAAACGAAAACGCAGATTTACTTCGCTCTGCTTTAAGCTTTAACTATAGCCACTTTACTCCCATCTCCGCCAGAAAACTTTTCCTCAGAAGTAGATCAGTTAAATGTCTCTCAACGTTCAACTGTTTTACGAGGCTGAAGTCGCTTCTTATTCTCCAGCTTCTTGTTCGAATTTTCCCGTTCCACCTTAAATTCTAACTGAGGTGCCAAATGTAAATGCGGCACCATTTAAGGTGGAACGGGAGAATTCGAAAGAGAAGCGACTTCAGCTTCGCCACTTTTTAGTGTTTGACAGTCTCTTGTTGCAGATTTAACGTACCAGGAAACCAACTGCGCTGCTTATAAATGCGAATAACGCATCGCTGCTATGTGACCGTCTGCGCGCCGGTTCTCAGTTGAAACAGGGCTTGCGTGCTATGTTGCACAAAGATACTTTACTGACACAGCGGTTCCCCCCGTCTGTACAATGAGACCAAAACCGAAGTTATAAAATCAGTAAAGAAAACGGGTAGAATAGCTGTAACGTGCTGCGTGGACATCCATTACCACTGGATCTTATTTCACCGGAACTGCGCATTTTATCGCAGATGAGTAGCAGCAGCTTCTCGTGCTCCAAACAAGAGCACTGAATGAGAGCCTTCTAGTTCACTTGCCACATCACCTCCGTTTGTTTTATTAATAAAGATATTGGAAGTAAGATCATTATGGATCATTACAAATACCAAGTCAATTTAAATAACAATAACACCAAGTTACTTGGTCACTTTAAAATGTATATTGTCTCTACATCGCATCGCAGCCCTCTGAATCGTAATCGAATCGAATCGTGAGGTGCCTAGAGATTCCCACCCCTTGTCGGTACCAACAAATGCATTACCTCTACCATTCAAAAGTGAATCCACTTTTCCAGACTGAATCAGAAAGCTGCAAAAACATCTATAGAGACACAGATAGTCTGTATGACTATGATTAGCAGTCATGTAGTGAATCAGCACACTCTGCTGCTCCATTGACTGACGTACACTTTGAGTGCGAGTGGCAGGAAGCAGGGTTGTCTCTGCCAAGCACAATAAGAAGCCGGGGCTGTTTGGATGGATGCAGCGAGTGCAGCTCCAGACGCTTTCCCTGAGCTAACAGAGCACATCCATTCAAACCAGGCGGAGTGGATTTGGAGTGCATGAAAGAGGCCCAGAAGCGACTCTACAGTAGCAGCATTTAGAGAATTCAGTGCAGGGCATGGAGTGAGGGGGGTGAGGGTGACTGGGGCAGTGCAGCTGTGAAGAGAGTGATGGGTATGAATGCCCCCTGAAAGGATGTGAAGCAGAGCAGAGCTAAAAGCTACCCATTCTGTGGAGAGGGGTACTGAAACCAGCGTATTGTCACTGTCACAAAAAACTGATTTTAAATGGTGTAAAAAATGAAAAAATGGAGTTATGTTATTTTGATACTATAGTGATGATGTTGCAACTGTCATACGTGCCTTTGTTTCTGTGAAATGGTAAAGTTATAGGAAAAATATTCTTACATTTAATGTGTATTCATGTATGTGTGTGTACATATATATATATATATATATATATATATATATATATATATATATGTATATATATATATATATATATATATATATATACACATGAATATTACCCATTTTTTTCCACAGTCATGTCAAATTTGTAGCTGCTAGCTAGGTCTCTCACTGTCACACAGTGCTAATGAGCTGTGAGGGTGAAGGCTGACATGTACTTCACACTGAGTAATGTGGGGAGGGGGGCAAGGAAGGCCATCCTATTCTCCCAGAGAGAGCGACTTCAATCGAGGGTGTGGGATAAGGGGGTGCTGAGAGTGTGGCAGCACCCCTGGATTTCAGGGATGGTTAACTGCAACTGCCAAAAATAATAAAAAAAGATCTGACCTATACCTACTTTTTTTAGAGTAGAGTTTGAATTTCTGTTTTATTTATATATTTTAAAACCTACAATAACTACTTACTGTCTTTACAATTTATTTTCTTCACTTGCTCACTGCTGGCTTCTTTAGGGGAGCGTCACCAGTGTGTGAAATACCCCCTGGTATTTGTGGGGTCCCATGCTGCCTGGCTAATCCAGCATTTACTGGCTGTTTTGCTTGCATTAGGGGCGCTGATGTTAGAAATGCTCTGTCTAGTTTGGTGATGTGCTGTTCAACACATTAACTGAGATCTTCCACATCTCCTCCTTTGTCTTTTTTTATGAAATGAGTGACAATTCATTCTTTCCACCAAAGTCTTGGGAAAATCAGGCAAGTTCTGAGATTTACAAACATGTAACACATGTGAATACACTACATATTGTAAAGTTTTTCAAAGTCACTGTACTTCAGAGGTAGTTGCTAGACTACGAAGGACCAACTGGGTGAACCAGATTGCTACAGCGCCACCCTGAGGCAGACCAGTGCTGCATCTCTAGTTAGTTAAGAATACCAAAGATAGAAGTTCGCTGACTGTGGGTCACGCAGCCAAACAATGACAGTATAACATCATAAAAAGTTTATTTTCAGGGACCCCTTAGAATTTTGGTTTTGAGACATTCAGAGGGACCAAGGGGTTAATCAGGGGGTCCTAGACCCCCCCAGGACCCCAGTGGCCTGATAGTGTTTTTGAAACTTAAAACTGAGGTACTGATGTCCTGCCCTTTAAACACATTCTTCTTTTATCAACTATTACATCTCCAGCTCGGTGCACAAAAAAGTGTGATTGTGGACGAGACATAAAAGGTCACCGCATCACATGTCAACAATCTGATTGGACATCACTCAGCTCATTTGCATGAAAGTTCATTTAGAAGGAGAGAGAGCAGAGAAATCAGGGTGTGCATCAGTGGATTAATGTGTCAGTTATGTGGGTATATTGTTATCTCTTACCATATTTTGACATGTCATGACACTCATCAAATAAAAATCAAATAAAAAAAGCCAAGTAATTTTGCATTATGTCACCATTCACTTCAAATTTCAGCAACCCCCACTTTAAAACACCTTCCCACATCCCTCACTCCAGTTATGCTCTCTTAAACTTCGGTCATAGATGACTGTCGCATCATTAGGGGATCGAACTTGCAATCTCCTGATAATTAATATATATGATGTGATATGTTGTGAAGAGCATGGCACTACTCAGTTTGGAAAATGAGTGTTGCTGAAGATGTTTATTAATTTCCCTGCTCTAACTAAGCACAGCCAATCACATTTACTTGAAAGGAAATTTGACCTATATATCAAATTTTCTGCATCATTTTATGGTTTATATATATACAAAGAAAGTCATTCAGCTTGGTTTGATTTAAAAACGTGTATTGTAGAGAAACTTATTGTGAACAATTCTGACTCAATTTGTTTCTCCAGAATGGAACATTTTACATTCAGCCACTCCAAATGACTTTCTTTACTTCTTAAGCATTTAATAATGCAGAAATGGTGAAAACTTGGTGGAATTCCCCTTTAAAACAAGTCTTAAATAAGCTGTTTCATAAAACAAGGCTCAAAGAGCCTTTATGAAGAATGTAGCATAATACAAGCAGCTGAACTCTCAAAAATAAGATGTACGGTTTGTATGTATGGTTCTAGGAAAAAACATTTAGTTGATCTGGAACCTTGACATTACTATTAAAATGTTCACATTCACATTTTTACAGGAGTGTCTTTAAAGGGCCACGCACTGAACGCTTCCTTATGAAATCAATAGGTGTTCTTCGATGGTATGGCTGCGAAAAAAAATCTTTTTGACACATTTATTTCAAGAACGAGCAGCTATAAACACCTTATACATCATATTTGGACAAATAGCAGAGCAAAATCAGCACACAAGACATGGAACACTCTTTTCCTTCCCTCATTAAGATGGCCTGTGTGAGCCGGTTAGAGACGGAAGGTTGAAGCCCATTACGCATTAATGAGAGATCAGGGTATCGTGCCAAAAGTGGGCGTCAAAGCTGTCAGGCTCTCAGTTATCGCCTTGGCTTGGGACTAGAGCAATGAGCGAGCGATCAACAAGGAGATGAAAGATCACATCATTAGGAGGCCATCTGAATGACTTACACCAACCTGAGGAGAATAGCAGGTAAGACATCACTTTTCTTCTGCAATTTAAGGAATCACATCTCCAGATTACTTACAGTTTGCATCTGACATTGGCTGACATCAGTTTGACTGCTTGATATCAGTTCTTTTTTCCTGGGAACACATACATTTAGTCCCAAATGAAGACTGGTTTTGTTAATTAATCATCTGTTTGCTACAAAATGAAGGGGAAAAGGTGTCTAAAGCTCAGTCACAGTTTGAGCTGAAATAGCGTATACTGTAAAGTAGAAAATAAAATGCAAATTAGAACAGGAAAACATTTTCAGTGTTATACTGAGTTAACTACAATCAGATTACCTTCATCTGTTTCTCAGCAGGGAAGGAACAGGGCACAGTAGTTGTGCATGCATTATTTAATGCATTTCTCTGGAACGCAGGCTGTTTCCCTACCCTCTGCTGCTGAAGCTCTCTGAGTACCAGATGACACGATCCCAGGCTCGGAACGCTATTGCATTACACACACGTCTTATTCATTAGTCATGGCACAACAGAACTGGAGCACAACGGCTTGGAATCTTCCAGAGCGCCTGCCACCTACGTGATCTTTTAATTAAACGGTATGAATGAACATCAGAGAGAATTTGTTATTTTCCTGGTTTGTACAGATCTTCAGATGAGTGAGAGCAGTGATGGAGGACTATCAGAAAGATTCTACCAGACGAGCCCGGAGACACAGTCATGGTGTCCTGCAGGAACTGTTTAGCAAAGGCTTCAGGACTGGAGGAAAGGATGTCATTGTGAGTGTAAAAGAATAAAAGGAAGGAGCTGGGGAGATCTTCTTGATGTTAATTCCTAAAGCACTTAAAATAGACAGTGAAAATGAAATCAAATTTAATTTACTCTCTTCTTGTGTTGGGCTACAGACTCGTCCCCAGGTTAGAAGGGGTGAGAGGAACGGAACACCTGTATATTTCCACCCTCTGGCCCTGGACAGTGTCATCACCCGCCGAGGCAGCCTGGTTCTGCTGAATGGACCCAACACTCTAGAGATCTACAAGGTACAGTCAAGTCATTTTGGGTGTATCCCCACAGCTGACCAAAATGAAAATTTTGAAATATATGAAAAAGACCCATTCATAGTCTAAATCATCACTGTCCAAAAAAAGGTATCTCCATTTTTTAAGATTTTTTTCTTTAGAATTTTCATTAGAACTTGCTCTTTCCATTGCTTGACAGTTTCATGATTAATAGACCAATAGAAACACTCCAAAATTGCTTGTATAAAATATCTTCACATAACCTAACTTTAAAAGTAAATCATATTTTTTGCCCTCTCCTTTAAAGTTACCATTTTGGAAATACTTGTTTTTCATATTATACACAGATGACAACACATCTGCATAAATACAACTTCACATGTTTAAAAGGTTAACTAAGGGAAAAAGCCTTAAAAAGGGCAGAAAAACAGCTGTTTTAAAACTGAAAGAGCAGCAGAAAAGAGGACAGGGCGAAACTGAGAGAGAGAGAGAGAGAGAGAGAGGACAGAGAGTGAGAGAGAATGAATAGGAAGAAGAGAAAGAGAAAAGTAGAGAGAGGTAAAGAGTGAGAGAGACAGAAAGACAGATAAGGAGAGACAGCAGGGAGACAGCAAGTAGGGAGAAGAAAGAGAGAGAGAAATAGGGAGAGAGAGAGGAGGTGAAAGTGAGTAAATAAGGAGAAGAGAAAAGGAGAGAGAGGGAAAGAGTGAGGGAGAGAGAAAAAAGAGAGAGGAGGAGAGAGTTAGAGGGACACAGTGAGTATGGAGAAGAAAAAGAGAGAAAGAAAGAGAGGTAGGAGAGAGTGAGATGGTCACAGCGAGTACAGAGAAAAAAGAGAGAGATAGAAAGGGAGAGAGAGATGGTGAGAGGAGGGAGAAGAGAGAGAAAACAGATATAAGAGAGAGAGAGGGAGGGAGAAGAGAGAGAGGCAAGAAGAGAGAGGGAAAGAGAGACAGTCAGAGAAAGTGAGAGGGGTTGAGAGAGTAATAGTGAATAGAAAAAGGAGAAAGAGAAAGACGAGAAAGAAGAGATAGAGAGAGAAGGAAAGAGTCAGAGAAAAGTAAAGAGAGAGGAGAGAGCGAGAGATTGAGTAGGGAGACGAGAGAGAGAGAGAGAGAGAGAGAGAGAGAGAGAGAGAGATGGAGTGGGGAGATGAAAGACAGAAAGATGGCAGTGACCATCCACATGTCTCTTCTTGCTAATATAGACCTGGACAAAGCAGTTATACTTTTATGCAAATGATATGTAAATGAGATATTTAATTGTTGGATCATTAGTATCAAAGTTGTTGCTATTCGGGTGATGGGGAGTGGTTCACAGACAAATTATTAATGCTTGCAGCTGAGCACAAAGTCTTTGGTTAAGTTCAGTCCTCAAAGGTGATGACCACATTAATCTATCAGTCTGCCACAGTCAGTCTCAGATGGCTCTAAAATGGCCTTGAATCTCCAAACTCACCCAGCTTTACAACTTCGGGCTGCACCATCATGCCTCCCAGGATGGTTTAGAGACGGACTGACATGCCAAATAACCAACCACTGTGATATGTAGGGGCAAGAGGCTTTAACATGGGGCTACAACAATAATACATCCACATGAAACAAAGAGCTTTATGTATCAGACAACATGCAAACAGATCTTGTGTATAAGCTACAAAATGCTTCAAAGAAAAACTTTTAAATAACTTTTAAAGATGTGATGCCATGAACTTCACATACTCTTTTTTCAATCTGCAATATTTTGGTCCGGAAGATTTGTGTTTCACAGAGTGTGCAAGTGCTTGCAAAAATCTGTTTCCCATCAGACACATTAAAACCGCTGTGTGGAGGTCTGTGGGTGCAGCGTCTGAGGCTGAAAAGAGGAATAAGCAAGTCCTTATCTCAATCACAACAACCTCCGCCTAGAAAAATCACCCTACAGACACCACAGTGTTCAGAAAGACAGATAAGCTAAGGAGATATATTCATGGGTACATATGAGGGCTAATATAATGGGGTTAGCTCATAACTGTCCTTATATGGAATATAATGATCAACAGTAACCAGGATTTATGACAAAAAATTATAATCTTCAGTTGAGTTTCCACTCCATTCAGGATAATTTTCATCTAAACTGTTAGTTTCCTTAAAAAACGTTTGACAAATAGTCTTGTGAGTTTGAAAAACCTTTTAAAGATATAAAGGTATATGGTATAATGGACCTCCGCATAATATAGCACATAATATAAACATTCTTATGGGAAGGTTCTTTAAAGGTGCAAGATGGTGCAACCTGTTGAATTCATACCCAACACTCCAAACAAATAGGGGGCAGCATATCACCAGAAAGTTGTGGTGTCCACCCCATCATAAAAAAACAAGGAAATGCACAGTCCCTCCTCCAACTTAGCAAACATATAAACTCTTTCAGTAACTTTAAACAATTAGCTACCTTCATAAGTTATTGATAAATAGCCAAATAACTTTGCATTAAAAGCTGGTTACTTACCAGTCTAGAAGAAACATTGCATCAAACTTCATCCCTTTACTCACCAAGAGCTGTCTCCAGCGGTGAAAAGCAACATCAACATTTACTCTTGTTTTGCTTCTATTTACATCACTTCTTTTCTTTGCTGCTGAACGTGGTTTCTTTCCAGAAGCGGAGGCGGTGGTGATAAAAGTTGCTTGCCAAAAGCTTCAGCCATTATTGCATTTATTGTTCCTTTCATTGGCTACCTGCTCTTAAATGGTCCATAATAAATGTGTGGCCCAGTTCAGGGGCTGCATCCTTCAAAGGACGCAGTCTACGAAGGCTGCGTAGACTTGTAAAGGCTGAACTGAAATGAGAACTGCTCTATGGCGGATTTCCTGTTTGCGTCACAACACTAACTGTTGCAACATGAAATGCTGCTCCAGTCAAGTTCTTTTAAAGTTCTTTAAAAATGGAGCCCGAAATTTTGATTTTAGTTTTTTGATTTTTTTTTTACATTTATATCGACCCAATACATACATTTAAAAGTGTACTCCTCAGCTGCCGTTTGCTCCTCTGCTGACACCACCATGTTCTTGAATCCTCACCAGCACGCAATGAACCTCGGGATATGTTGGCTGGCAAAGGATCCACCTCTTAGATCCTTCGTTGCCATGGAAAAGAAGAACACATTTCTCGGCAGCATAAGAAGGAGCCTTCGAAATGGGATGGCCTAGTCATGCTGCTGTGATGCAATCGGCCTTCAGATGCAGCCTCCAAAGGATGCAGCCCCTGAATTGGGACATAGTTTAAGTCACTATAAGTTACTATGACTGAAAAGATGTTAGAATATGCCCTTGGGGCAGCACTACTTCTTCATCCTCTCATGTTGGACTGATGGCAGACACCATGCTATAGTGACTGACTAGCACCTCCAGGTATAAAGTGGTATCATGAGACAGGACAGGCTGGGGCTAGCTGGTTAGCATCCTAACTTCAGTAGATATCTCTGTAACATGATGCAAAGATGTCTTTGACATAATGTTAAAACTGTTGTTTCTTCACATTCTGTTCAGAATTTTAGTTAATTTTGGAATGTTTCAAACTAAAAATCTTACAAATTTCACCTTTAAGGCTCTTTCTGTGGCCAAAATCAACTACAATCGAATTCAGTATTTCCCTTGTAACTCTGTTGTCACATTAGCTAGGACACTGTGGGCTCTCCATGTCTGAAATGTTGTAATTCTATGTTGGTAGGGTGCTAGTGAACAATGAGGAGTGAAAAGCTTTCCTGATATCAAGAGGTAATACACAACTTTGAATTCGAAAATAGCAGCAAAAACTCAATAAAAACACTAGTTGACTTGCTTGCTTGTCTATGAAGACAAAAATCCATTTCACATTTGCTTTTGAAATCATACACATTTCCATCTAAATATATTCCATCACTTATTGAAGACAAACAATGTAAAGTGCAAAATCTGAGGGACCTCCAAAGCAGAGAGAAATTGCATTTTACAGTTACTGTGGAAGAGGATTAAACGTTAAAGAGGTTCTTCACATTCACACATCTCATTTCCACAAATGAAAAGAACTACCCATTACAATGTTCTTTAAGGAACCAAAAGTCATTCTGCTATGGGCCTTTTTGGCACCTTCAAATCACTGCATTTATTGACTCTAGCCTGTTCTGTAATACACCCTCCTGTTTAGATGACCAGTTCCATACAGACTGTGAAAAACAAAAGACTGTGTAGCTTTGCTGAGCTGTATGTGGTATAGATGCTGCATTCAGCTTTCTGACAAAGTTGCCTTTCTCTGTCTCTCAGCCGTGCTCATTGCCTTTTCATCACAGTTTGCCTCTTCCTGCTTTCTGCGGCCTCTCAGCATTTCATTTCCCACAATCTCCACAGCCCGGCAAGACGAGCCAAGCGGTGAACGGAGCACGGATGACTGATGTTTACCTGCCCGCGATCACAGGGAAGATGTCAAACCTGCAGGCGGCCCGGGCCAATCTGAGTCATTCCTGTCCCTATCTGTACAGCAGCAGACGCCGCGGGTCCGCCTCCTCTGTCATCTCACAAAGAGGCTCAGACTTCAACGGCAAACAGGTGAACAAACCCGGCCGACTGCATTCAGCTTCAGGGTCATCACTGATGCAGTGCTCCATCGCTGAGGCAACATGCGGAAAGCCAGTCGTGAGATATGAGTTTGTGTATTTCTGGCAGGGCTGTCTGTTTTGCGTCACTGTACAGAGTGGGAGCACAGATTCACTGTTATGGAGCTCTTTTCATTACTCACTGACTTGTTCATTCAAGCCAGTCCATATGTACAAGAAACATTACAATTATGGAGTCATATCCTTTCCCAATTTAAAGAGAATTCCAATGATTTTTACAAAAGTAATTTGATAAAATGTAAACAAAGTCATTTAGAGTGTTTTGATGTGAAATACACCAGTCTAGAGAAACTTGTTCACAGTGGTGGGGAACCAGACATCTGAATGTTTAACACCACTCAAAGGTACGTCACAGAAGGTTATTACATAAAATGGTTATAAATACATTGCCTGATGTGTGAGACATTGTTTTACTTTATGATAGTTATGATAAAAGCTAAAAGAACTATTCTACAGAAATATTTCAAACTTTAGTTCAAAGTATTCAGATACATGTACATATACATTCAGATACAGTATAGTATACAAGCATACAAGTAAGTATGCAAGGATATGTTAGGATCTAGTTAAACCCAAAGCGTTAATACACTCTCAGAAATAAAGGTAGTAAACTGTGCCTGGGGTGCTACCCTCAAGGGTACATCTTAGTATCTTTATTCAACATAATTGTACCATAATCAATTGAAATGATATTTTCTTATATAGTTTATATAGAAGTTATAGTTGTATTGACTCCACACACACTGTCTCATCTCCAGGCTTTTTATTTTATTGTTCTGTTTTAAAACATTAGTTTATGAAAAGGTACAAATACATACTTTTCACCTGAAAAAACTTATTTAAGGTGCACAATTGGACCTTAAACCCGCTGTGGTACCTTTGAGGGAACATTTACATTGTTTGTACCTTGATGAACAAAAAATGTACTTGCACAGAGCCTTAATTTCTAACAGTGTAGGTGGTAATAAGCTAAATATATTAAACGTATTCCAAAGTCTGAAAGTCAGTGGGTAACATTAAGAATTGTCACTACTGAAACACATTTTTAATCTGCAATTAAGTAAACTTATTTGTGTTTTAATGAAAAATACTATGAATTTGTGTGTGTACAACTGTTCACAGCTGTGTTTGCTAGTCATATACTGGCCAACACTAATGAATTCTGCTCAAAATTAACTAAGAAGTCACTACTGAAACATTTGGCAAAATTTCAGTAGTGTTATGATTGTGTTGGTAGTGACAAAATGGAAAATACAGTCATTTGTTTTAATAAAATAAGCATATTTAAATCACAGAGTTATTAAAAGCAAAATGATTATAGTCTAAAGTCCAAGACAACTCAGAAGACACATGTAGATTCACAGGTGGTTTTGGAAAGTAAATAAAATGGCTACATTTGTGTTGTAGACATTGTGACCTCTGGTTCCTATAACCACCACTGTAATTAAATCTGAGTCAGCATTTTTCTCTCCAGTACACTATTTCACATCAAACCACTCTGAATGACTTTTTAATTCTTAGCTATTACATGTAGAAGTACTGAAAAGCCCTTTAAGCCCCTAATTGGCTAAAAGCTTCCAACAGGTCTTAACCTTTATTGCCCATTTTTATAACTAAAGAATGGCAATTGTAGTCCATGTACTTGCTGAATAATAAGCATAATTAAATGCATTTGAAAAAAAAAAGATTATTATTCATTTTAAAAGGAGGGTAATGGCTTTTGTCTTGAATGTATTGTTCTATACTTAAAAAAAAGGGGAGGTGGGGCAAAAAAGAGTTCTTTGTGTGATGCCTTAAGAGAACCACTTTTACTTCTCTAAAGAACAATATGTGAAAAGAGATTTGTCAGTGTAAAGAGCCTTTTTGGCATAGAACCTTTGCATTTTGTGAAGGCTCTTTAAGGATTCTTTGTAGAAACTTTCCATTATGTGGAGGGCCCCTTTAAAGGTCCCATATCATAGAGAACTTATTTTTAAATAAAAAAGTTGATCTGATCTGAGTTTTATTCTTGTCATAAAAGCCAACACATTTACATATATTTGCCTATTCAGCCTATAGCAGTTTAGCTCCACCCATTCACAATGAGGTTGTAAGGAGTGTTTCATCTTTGATTTGCACAATCACCAAAAGTGATTCTTCACTAGCATCACTCAAAGAACCTTTTTTTGCACATTAATTTTTATAAGTGTAGAGTAAAGCTTTAATCAGTATATATAGGTTTATATTACTTGGAGGCTCTTGAAACTTCAAAAAGGTTCTTCACACTCACACATTTCATTGACAACAGTGGTTCTTTGAAGGACTATTGGAAGATGCATTCAGGGAACAAAAACTGCTGTTATATGGTATCAGTACTAAAAACCCTTTTAGGCAGCCTTATTTTTTTAGAGCAGAGTCAGCATATATGGACTTTGCTACTTTTGTTATTTTCAGTGCGGAAGTTAATTTGTTTTATTGAGTGAGCAAAGAGTTCTGTTTAAGAATTCACCTTTTTAATCTTGCACAAACATCTCACCTCCTCAGAGTTACCTTAAAGAACAGAAAGACTCGAGGAGGTCTAATGTGGCAGTGACAATGATGTACCTTGGCCAGGGAAAGCCTGGAGCCACCCAGGATGAGATGAAGGTGCTCCAGCAGATCTGTGGAGGGGAGAACATCTGCGTCTTTAAAGGATCTGTCTTGCCTGGAGGTAATAATTACCACAGATGCCACACACCATGAAGCCATAGGAGAGGAAATCCAATAATTCAAGCAGTTTTGAAACATGGTTTTCCAACTCAGTAGGAAATGATTGTGGTAAGTCTACTGGCCTGCTGGTAAGCATAACTGGAATCCCTGCTGACTTCTGCAGAGCAGTTCCAGTTCACCTCCCAGAGACACCTTGGCTACCCTTTCAGTGCCACCTTCTACGTCAATGGCATAATGGCAGGCAGAATCAGTTCGTGCTGTGAATACCGCTACTCCCCCGGCTTCCAGCAAGGCCGCAAGAGCTGCTTCAGGCTGACGCGACTGAGTGGGGGGAAACCGTGCTACAAGTGAGTGTTGCTCAAGATCTGCAGGGTGATGGCTAGAGATATGGAACATACTGTGATATCTTTACTGTCTAAGCATGATCTGTCTTTTATTTTAGATGTGTGAATTCAAGGCATGGTATTGGCCAAGAAGTGAAAGCTCACAACAATCACCAAGCCATCAAATCTCATGAAGGTTAGAATGAACTGCATATAATTCAGAATTACTGTTTTCCTGCCTGTGGTGGAATCAGCATATAGTTCCGTTCAAACGTGTACAGTTAATGTTTTCAGTAATAATAAACCAATTTGGTCACACGTGAATAAAATTATTCTAATATGCTAGTCTTGCATAGCTTCACAGCTTTCAAATAATTATAGGAAGCTGTAAAATGAATACATTTGAGATGCAAAACACCTGCAAAAACTGTACAGCATCAAGAATGAAGATATAACAAGGATACAAAGTGTCAGTTGTGCAAAGCATCACTCTTATTAGGCACCATAAGCTACATGAGTGCTAATAGCAGCCCTTGTGGCAAATCTATGGCCTGCAAAACACGAGTGAGTGTGTGAGTGAGTGGGTGAGTCAGTTAATGAGTGAGTCAGTCAGTCAGTCATTCGCTGAGTCAGTGAGTGAGTGAGTCAAGCAGTGAGTCAGTCAGTCAGTAAGTCAGTCAGTCAGTCAGTCAGTGAGTGAGTCAATCAGTCAGTCAGTCAGAAAAAGAGTCAGTGAGTGAGTGAGTCAGTCAGTCAGTGAGTGAGTGAGTGAGTCAGTCAGTCAGTCCTTTAGTTAATTAATTAGTTACAAGCCAGCAGCCGTATTACAGAAACTTCCTATCTTTTTGTTTTAAATTAAGATCTGACAGATCAAGATTCATATTACAGAAACAAATCTTATCTTAATTTAGGAATCTCATCTTATCTTACAGCATCTTATCTCAAGTCAAGAAATCAACGTGCGTGATCAAAGTCGACAATCAACTGTCATGTCTGTTTCCTAGCAACTGACCATTTGTGCACAGCTGAAATCTAAACATATAATCAAAATAATCAAGTTAGTTGGCCAGACTGCTAGCTACCGTTACTGATGTAAAAAAGTCAAACAAAACTAAAGCACGATAAACTGATAGCTAAGAATATTGTGGCAGCACTTTGTGCTGTTTATCAGTGCATCGCCACTCTCCAGTTTTAGCTTTAGGCGACTGTGCTAACACTATTCCTCCTAAAAACAGGCCTGCGTTCAGCTCTGTCTCCTTATTATTCACCACCATCACTGTAATATTTTATCTGTAGAGTGTTCATCAACATTAACACACGACGGTAATAAGAGGGGATGGTGGAAATCATGTATGCAGTGTCTGGGGTTTTTAAAATGCTAATAGAAGTCAAAGCACCATTTTCAGTGCAGATAAATGTAACTTTCATTATGCTAGTTACAGTGAACTAATGTTATGCTGCCTGTCACTGCATAATATGATAGAAATAGACAGTTAAAACAGAAGTTAAGACCCCTCTGGGGTTATTTTAAAGTTAGAATTAGTATTTAGGACATTTTTTCTTGTTAGCATGTTTCTGTAATACTGTTTTCTTATCTAGAGTTATGATGAGATAATGAACTTACTGTTGTTCTGTAACAGCTTCTGTCCTAAATTCAGTTCTTACTGAAGTTGTCATGATGACTAAGCAGATAAGATTTCAGAAGTTTATGTAATACAGCCCCAGGTCCCTAAAATGCTTCACATCTAATAAAATTAGCCCTTAAACTCTAACATACACTTCAATTCCTCACTCCCCTCACTATAGGACATACAAAGTAGTTTACACTTTTATGTAATTAGATAAATAATACATTAATACAGCATATCATTTATCATTTGATGGTGAATAACTTTAGTTTGAGAGCGCAATCTTGTATATAAAATAATAAAATCAAAACAACAGGTGATTCCAAACTTTGGATTGGTAGTGTAAATGTAACAGCTGATTATATGCTTATGTTCCTTATGAATGAATAAATGTGTCTAGGAGTGATGGAGTCTTGCCCTTCATCCCCTTTATTCATCCCTCTTGGAATGGAGAGGTCTGTACGGAGGACAAGAAAGCTTCCTAAAGAGGGCAGCGGCGTTACTACAGATAGCGAAGACATGAACAACAGCGTGAAAGACAGGAAACGACACAAGCGGCACAAAGGACGTCGCAGCCAGCAGGGAGACGCCAAGGCCTCTGAGGAATCCCAGAATAAAAAAGGAGACACGAAAGAAGGAGAGAGCAAACCAGCAGCTGTAAATCAACCCAGACCTCCTGTGAAAAATTCAAGCAACGCCAAAGAACACAGCAGAGACAATCCAGGACCTGACAGCGGAGTCAAAGCGCCAGGTGAACGCTCATTTTTTTTTCCTGTTATGTCTGTTTAACGCATTTGAGGCAGAGTTCACTTGGCTGCACATCGTATAGCTTTGAAGTTACAAACATCCTCTCTCCTTATAAATCTCAATGCTGTATTTCATTTTATAAGAACCTACAAAAAATAGGAGCTAAAGACAGTTGTATTTCTCGAAAGATTCATTGCAGGATGGCGAAGCCCTGAGTAAGCAAAATGGAAAGAAAAGGCCAGCTGCTCTGCAAGCGAATGGCAAAAGCAGAAACGAGGAAAGACTGAGAGACTTCTATGAAGAATGTGTTGAAATGAGCACTGGTCTGGAATCAGGCCTAGACCAACAGAAGTGGTTCAAAGCAAACAGTGAGTAAAGAAGTGCGGCTCATTGCTCACGGACAGGGTTCCCCTTGAGCCTTTTAAAGCCATTCCCACTCAGTCAATCATTTGAACATAAAAGTTTGATACTGCAAAAAAAGTAGCTTAGTTAATGCAGGGACATGCTTCAGCTACCTGGAGAGTAAAAGCAATCGCGTTTGCTGATCTTCTGAGACCTCCACATAACTCAAACTCAGAAAGAAGTCATCAATTTTAGGCTACTGTAATCTCTGACACTCTTTTCTGGTCCTGAGGTCAAGAGTTATTACTTTCAGTTTGCTGTGTTTTTCAAATGTAATTACATAACATCATTTATTACACAGAAGCTAAAAACATTGAAATTTGACTTTTATTCTGTATCAACAGGGTTGAGTCTGCACTTCTGACTCTTTTCTGTTTGTTTCGATATCAAGCAAAGACAAAGAAGGACAAACATGTAATGGATTTTTTTTGTTTCTGCAAAACAAGGTTCCGGGAACAACAATGGCTTTTCAGCTTTTCATCAAATACAAATTAAAATTAAATATCTCCTCTTCTACTAGTAGTACTGTCCAAAAAATAGACATCATCCTTCATTCAGTTAACTCCTTAACATTCCAGGCCTATTACATACAAGGCTTATTATTAATTAACTACAGGGACTTCAATGCAAACTAATGGAGCTTTTAACGGCTGGCCCACAGCTTGGTAAGGGGTTAATTTCCAGTCAAAAGATCTGTTAATCACAAGTTATTCATTTTTCAGGAGTTATGTATGACAAGATTAGATGTAAAATAATTTAACTTACATATAAAAGAGAAAAACTGGAACTGGAGTTCTAACAACCAGGCAAGACCTGGTCGACCACTAAAACTGTCACCATTAGATAAGCAGTACTTGCCAAGAAGCCATTACTGAGAAAAAAAGGACCAAAAATGAAGTAAAACTGTAAATCAAACAAAGAAGCTGTTGGTTTTCTCAAACCAATGGGAGAGCCCAGACTTCAACATCACTGAATGTGTTTGGAATTATTTGGATGGTGAGAAACAGAAACCAACTTCTAAGACTGAACTTTTGAGGTCTGGAAAAATATCCCTGCAGATTTCTTTGAGAAACTGAAAGGAAGTCTCCTGAAAAGAATGGAAGCTGTAACAAAGGCAAAGGGTGGACATACTAAATACTGACAAATGTGGTCATGTATTCAGCTGTTGAGGTTTCTGTGTAGTTTTCTGTGGAATATATGTTTTCTGCTTTTTTCTAACACTAAAAAATGACTTGTACTTTATGGCTGTTTTGACTGGAAATTAATTAGATAAAAGGCGGTTTCTGACATTTGCTCAGTACTTTACAAACTCAAATGTGTAAACACCTGAACGTTTACAGTCAGCAGAACAGAATTATTTTACTTGTTTTGATGAATTCTCTTACTCTTTAAAATCCTGGACTTATCATATCCATAATTTTTTACAGATTATCTTTCTGTGTAACTTAAACAGAATTTTTCCATTTCTGCATTTCTCTAAAACTTTGTGTTTAATTGTACTAGTACAGCTTGTCTTGCTGTGATCAAAGTAAACAGGTGGTGACTAAACTTCAGTCGCTAACTGAGCTTTGAGAGGGCAACCTTGTGAGGTTTTGCTCTTTGAACAGCCCAAAAAAGTCACTAATTATTGGCACATTATCAACAATATTTTAATTAATACAGCTAATTCTGCAGGTCATCAATGATGGCTGATATTATCAGCCAGCTGATACATTGGTTGGGTTTTAGTGGAAGATAAAGAAGATTTTTCTCTTTGAGTTGAAGGAAACATACACGATTTTTTACAGATAAACCTGTAAATTATGGAATGTTTTAATATGACGGAATGTTTTAATAGGAAGGAATTTTCCTGTATATACACAGAATATATACCATAATTTAACATAAATGTTAATTGAAGATGTAACGCAACACAACTGCACAGACACTTGCAGATGTTTTTAAAAGAAGAGGCTTTACTGTTCGAAACGTGATCCAAGCTTGTAGTTAAAAAACATGCACAGGTCAGATCCAAAACAATTCAAAAAGACACAAAGAAATACATAACAGAGTCAGGCAACCAAGATCAAAAGGGCAAAGGCAAAAATCTGAGTCAAAAGTCCAAAAACACAGTCCAGATATACAAAAGGCAAAAACAATATAAAACCCTCAATGACTACAGTCATGCGACAAGCAAAACAGGTGTAACAGATTAGTATTCAGGTGAGGGAGAGCGTTGATTGGTTGTTGTCGGCTGATTAGCAGTCACATGATCTCCAAGAGAGTTCTGGGAAGTGTAGTTCTCAGATCCAGAAGAATGTGTGACAGTAGAAGTGACAAAATTGTCTGTTAACTTTAAATGTACTGGTAATTTTTTACCAGCGCATTTTATGTATTTTTATATATTTTTTTTTATAGTATACATGGACTACAATGCCAAAAAAGACATCCCAGGACACGACAGGGATTTCTGGACACTGAAGGGATTTAAAAATAGACATAATTATTAGCAAATTCCACCCTGCATTTATCATTGTTAGAGTTCTCCTCCTAATGAAAAGAATTAGGCAACAGCAGCACAACAGACTGGAATGTTTCACTGTCATGGTATCTAGAGAATCTAAGATGAGATCAGAATGTAGAGATGAAACAGTAGTTGTGTTTTATGTTGTTTTTAGAGTACGAGAGGAATAAGATTAAAGAGCAGATCACCTTGGGTCCCCATCCTAATGGCTCTTCTTCTGAGGTGGAACTCAGTGAAGAAAGTGACAGCAGCGTCCTCCATTCAAAGGCAGGGAAGCTCAGGATGAACACAAAGCAGCCGGAGACACCTCTCCAAGGTTGGTACGAGAACTTGACAGAAATCTGCAGCGTTAGTGAAAATGGTAAACACACAGTAGTAGTGAACATGGTTCTGCACTACACTCTTAAAAATAAAGATTCCTAAATGTTTCTTGGTTTGACTGTACAATTATAGACATTCATTATATAGACATTCTCTTTAGTGTTGCAGTACTCGAGTTTGAGCTTTGACTCAAGAGCGTTAATTAACGTTCTCAGCCTTGTCTCAACCTCAAGGTCATACTGACTTGGTCTCATCTCAGGTTAAGGTGAACTCAACCGAGTGTGATGCTTCCATCTGAGGTAACTAGAAACCACTTCCTGGAGATTTCCTGCAAAGTTAATTCCAACCTGTATGTGACACTCTGTCCATCCCTTACCCAACACTAATGCATCTGATCCAGCCAGTCAAGGACTTCTGAAGAAATGAATTAACTGGACAGGTGTGACAGATTGTAGCTGGAACTACATTCAACAGGAGAGTAGATCTCTAGGACCAGGGTTGGTGACCGCTGCTCTGTGGGCTTAAATAAAGTCTACTTGCTGCCAATTGAGGATCTAATTGATCTTTTCCATGCTGTCTTAAATAAGTATTATTTGTTTGTTAGTGTTTATTGGTTCCAGAATTCAAATATCTCCTGAGCCCAGATAAGAATGTTTTCATTTAATATTAAAAATGGATGTATGCTGTTTCCTTTATATCCAGTTCACTGTAGGTGGTGATTCTGAGTAAGTTTTAGAGAAGTAGAGACAGAGAATAACTTCACCATCATTTGCTTCCAAAACTTACAATGCAAAGTTGGACTAATACTATAATATAACAGTAATTAATAATTAATTTATAGCATGATGAATGTATATAATGAATAGTAATGAATGAGCAACGAACTACAAACTGATTTGTTTTTCTTTCTTTTATTTTTACTATTCTGAAAGCAATCTTAATCTGGTCTTGGTCTTAACTCGGCCATTTCATGTTTTAATCTTGACTTGGACTCACCTCTAGTGGTCTTGACTACAGCACTGCTTTAAGGTTTAAAAACTTTCTCCACTTATGCACATCTCATTTACAGTAATGTTTTTAAAGAACTATCTATTGGAAAGGAACTCAACTAAGCGTGTTTCTTCTTTGGTATCACTCCAAAGAACTATTTTTGGGAGTCTTATTTTGAAGAGTGTGCAGTGTTCTTTTAAAGTGCCTTCGTTCAGTCATGAATGAACTCTCATTTCTCTGTTTTCAGACGCTCCAGAGAACGATGCATCTGATAAAGAACAAGAACTGCAAAAAAAGGTTGGTTAAATCTCTAAAGCATATAGTCACTCACATAAAGTCGCTCACGTAGGAAATCTTTTACAACTTCATAAGGAAAGGAAAAAAACTTCAAAAAACCTTAAAGTCTTTACTTTAATGTTAGTGTGACATGATTTTATTGCAATTAATTTTGGAGAATTGCTATCAGTCCATTCTGTAAAAAAAAATCAGATGTGTAAAACAAAAACAAAAAAGTTGATTTACAGCTCTGGTAAAATTATACTATGTTGATTTGTGAAAAATAAGTGAACATGTGCTCTACAGAGAACACACTTCTGCATATTTTAATGCACAATTACTGTTTATTTGCTGAATTTAACAACTTTGAAAAAATCTATAAACTGTGGCATGTGTAAGAGTTATGGAACAATTTATATTTTATGGGTTTTTCTCAATGTGTTAAACTAAGCAAATACAATGAAATTGTGCACTAAAATTTGCACAAAAATACCATATTTAAGTATGTCCTCTTATTTTCACTTAGAAAATCAACAAAATGTGTACAGTAATTTCACAAAAGAAGTTCAAACTTTTGTATGTGACTGTATACCATACACTGCAGTCTGATGTGTGTAGCAATTTCAATACATTATAAAAAAAAAACGATATATAAAATAGCGTGTTGAAATTTAAAACATTAGTTTCTTTTGAGAGTCTCTCATTCGCCATCTTTCGTGGAAACCACTGTCAGTGTTTGAAACTAGGCATCTGAGTGCATCCTATCAGAGTCAAGTGGGCATGGACGGGGAGGGGCTTATGCAACACTATACTTCGCATATACAGGTGTAAGGGATTTTCAGGCTTATTTTGTTATGAACTTTAAACAGCAGGCACTGAAAATGTTCTATTTGAGAACTTATCTGAACCAAACCAATCCATGTAGTATACAGGTAGAATCAACATGTTTCTTTTTCAGTTTTTTGGCATTCTTTCCAATTTTCTCCTCAACTTAGTCATGTAAAATTCCAACCACTAGCTAAGTCTTCCCATCTCACACTATGCTACCAGCACTAGGAGGGTGAAGGCTAGCATGATCTTCCTTCAAGGCATGTGAAGCCAGTCACCTAATGAAACATTATTGGACGGCTAAACACGCCTGGAGGAGAACGCTAATTGCCGGTTCTGTTACATCAGCCAACAGGTACCCATGCTCGCTAGCATCTCGTTAAGTAATGGGGGGAGAGGGCGGGCCAACCCACCCACTCAAAGAGAGCAAGGCCTCTCTTAGACTCCTGGACGCAGATAGCTGTAGCATATGAAGATGTTTTTAATGCATAAAATGTCAAAAATCTAATGTTGCCCTGAGAATAAAAAATCATATTAAACCTGAAAATATGTGTGTTGTTGCATCCTTGCAATCCCTAAGACATTTTATGGTAATTTTACTGTATAGCATTAAAACTACAGTAACTATTGTAAACTATATGTTCCTTATAGATCATCAAAGCTGTGCTAATCTACTTCATGGTTAATGTCTTACTTTTCTGCTATAGCTAATGCATTTAAACCTTGTGGAGTCTAAATCAATGTCCTTAGTTTGCCATTTCACATTAATAAAGATTTCAAGGAATTCTAGGATGGTTCACGTTTACACAAACTTACCGTAAATTAACAGTAAACTCTTAAGAACGGACATCAGCTAATAGCAAAATTCAGTAACATACCATAATTCCAGGTATTTTAATTTACTATAAAATTACAGGAATTATTTTACACAATTTATGTTTATATGATTTTACAAATAATGTTTTATAATTCATGTGAGCTTTCTACTTTCCCATGTCAGAGTTTGCTCACCAAGATGAATAGAAGGAGGAGCCAGTGTCCACTAATCATTCACAAACTGGAGCTGAAAAATTCCGCACAGTGTAGTAGAGGAAGCCTGTGTGTGTTCACATAGAGAGAAAGATCAGTGCATGCCTACAGGACCTTCTTAACTATCTGTCCATCTACTTGCTGAAGGCATTCCTTCAGCTGTCTCGCAGCTGCGCTTTGATTTATTCTGAGATTAAATTATCAAATCTACTCGAAATTAAATTTATTGTAGGTTACTAGCATCCTGACAGAAGACTTAAAGTAGGATCACATCCAAAATCCATTATATAAATGTCCCATACCATGAAGACAGATTGCAGGAAGTTAGCCAGTATTCACTGAGCCCTGTGTATCCAGAGAATGCGAATGAGATAGCAATGAATCATTGTGACTCAGTGATTTTGATATGAGAAACCCAGTAACCCCAACGAGATTTCAGTATACAATGGTTTTGACTGCAAAACTGTGTTTTTCATTTAAATTCTCTGGACTTTGCTCATATATAACAATAGTATTCTTGCTGAGAATTCTAGGTTTTATAAGCAGGTTCCTCAGAGCATGTTTTATTATTTTTATTATATTGTTTTAACAGATATACACAAATATAAAGTCAGTGCATATATTTGAATATAATTAAATGTACAGAGATCTTTTATGACCCAGATGTTGTCCAAGAGAGTGCATAAAGCATAAATTGTTTTAAAAGGTTGGCAATAAATTGGAAGTAAACTGAATGTCATAAAAGAACATGCTATTTAAATTTCTCTGTATGAGGGAGTTTTACTGTACCTATAGCTTGGCATTCTTTATTGACAAGAAGCCAACCGCTATTTTAGAGTCTACTCTTCCTCCAAAGGGGAGCATATCTGAAATGTGTGCCAGTAAAACCAAGAAGTTAGAGTTGGAGCTGATTTCACAGGGAGCTTGATGGAAATCTTTAGGCCTTTAGATGGGAATTCAGTCAAATTTGTTTTGTAAAAAAATCATCAAAAAATGTTCTGATAAAATGTCCCAACAGATAGTGATCCATACTAGGTGATCTGCATAGAATTGTCTCCCCAGTGCTCTGAACACATCCAGGTCTTGCTGTTTAACAGCAGTAACAATGGAGGCAATGAGGCTGGATGCAAGCGCAATTGCTTTTATTTAAATCTGATTTGACAGAGTCCAGAAACTGAATAGCAGAGGTGGGTAGACCAGACCATAGTGAAAGAAAAGAACAGGCAACAACAACAAAGGGATCACATAGGTAATGCAAGACAAGAAGACGGAGCAAACACAGGGGTATAAATACACTGAGAGGAAACAAGAGACGCCTGGGACTAATGAGAGGGTGGGGCAACAGACAACACACAGATGAGACAGATAACAAGGAGGCAGGACAGGGGAGGAGACAGGAACAAAAACAAAAGCACATGGCTAAACACAAAGGTAGACACAGCCAGAAACAGACCAAAGATGTTACATGTGATCGCTTATTATTATGAATATATCCATAGCCATATATCTTTATGTTCCTGTGTGCACAGACTCATGGGAAATGCGGTCCGTACACAGTCATCTTTCAAATTCCTTTACTGTTGCAGACTGAACCACCTCCATTTTTCTAAGACTTTTCTATTTAACAGTGAGGTAAACTAAGGAGGCTACCTGATATAAAGTAAGACACTGCCAGCTTGTCCTCTACCACAGGCTGTAGTTTAGTTTTGTTAGTGATAGCTAGCTAGTTTAGTAGGTAATCATGTGTCTTGGCTAAGGTTGCCAGGTGTCCAGTTTTGGATCTAAGAGTGTGGCTTTGAGCCCCTCTTCCACCCCTCCACCCCAATTTACAAAAGAGAAACATGTCAATCTAAAGTCTTTAAGCTAAATAGACAGCTTTCACCTCAGCGGTTAGCACTAGTCTAGTCACATATCCACAAGTTTGTAAAGCTTTAATTAGCTGACAACAAACCTGATAAATTCACTAAATGATGTTCAAATTTTGGTCTATACTAGTAGAGCATAAACTAAGCTTAAACGGTGGTTTTCTGAACGTCCTATGTATAGCTGCACTCTGTACTATCTGTAACCTAGTGCCAGAATCCCTTTGGTTTCTTGGTGCTGAGTTTCTTGTCCAGGAAGCGGTAAGCTTTAGACAGCTGTATGTCTGGTGGTTTTCCTCTTTGGACAAAACAGATAAGAAACTCTGACCAAAATGTAAGACGTGAGCTCTACACTGCCCTCTGGTGGAGTGTAGAGATCAGACATGTCTTGGTTCTTAAATATGAGAATGTATAACAGTAGAGAGAGATTAATTTGCTTATTAAAAATATTAATTTACTATGCAGTTTTTTAAACTTCCATAGCTGTTGAAATATTAGCAACTTAGCAAGTAATTCCTCCCCAATGTAGAGATTTTCTAGACTTCTTTTTAGAGAATGTGTATATTTTTTCAGATCTAATATGATGCTCTATAAGCTCCCAAGCAGTTTTCATAGAATCTGCACTAAATTGCCAATTGAGAGTACATCTTGCATTGAGTCCAGTCAATATTTTCCATATGCAAGTTTCCAAAGTTATACTGTAGAATATATAGTATGCTTGTGACAGTGTTATTTTTTTCATTTTATAAACTTGATCTGTTGACCAGTTCCACAAGTTCAGAAATGTGCTGTTGTGCATTTGAATCTCACTGCCTTCAGCTGGATGCTATGATGGAGGTGCTGAGCTCATCAGATGAGGTGGAGCAGCTGGTTCTAAGGAATACAGGGCTGACCGATGACCTGCTGAAGGGTTTAGCCACAGCACTGAAGAGCAGCTTATCTGAAGTCACCATGATCAACCTCAATCTCAACCACATCGGACCTCCTGGAGTTCATGTTCTGCTTGACCTTCTGCAGGCCAAACTGGAGCTCAGGGGATTACTGTAAGCCACCATAGATGCTAACCTCGCCTGTCAAACTCACAGCTGAGGTTCAGAATCAAATTGATGACTTTATTTTGGTCACAAATACGATCGTGTGATACAATGTGGCATGTCACAAATGCTCAGTTAAAAACAAATTGTTTAGTTTACCTTCTCTACGAATTGGAAATGACTAGTCTACAACTTGAATAATAATACTGCCTATTTTAAAGTCTCTCTTACAGTAAGAAATAGAACCTGATGGACAAACTCATGTATATGCATTTCGTTAACACTTTATTTGGATAGGCCACAATAGATGCTATGTCCTGCATTTAATTCACCTAATGTATTTTAAATTCACCTTTACTTTCCCTAACCTTTAACCCTATCCCTAACCTCAAACTGAAATCTTAACTTGATCTTCCACCCTATTCTTATACTGAACCCTGGTACTAATCCTAATCCTAACACTAGACCTAATACCATTTTACCATATATATATACATGTGGTGTGTGTGTGCACATTTGCACATTTTAATAGGCTTTATTTGTTATTGCTTCCATTTTTAGATTTTGGCTTTTATTAATATTAATCATTAAAAAAATCAATAGATAAGATTAGTAGTTCTGAAGCAGGTCCTTTAAGCATTGGCCTGTCATTGGGAGAACACCAATTTTGCTCAATAACGAGTATAATTCATAGTGCCAGGCATACATAGGAGCATTATTGTTCATGGGGTCCTGTTTAAATAACCATGAAAAACCATCTATTCCTTATCTAGATTATTTGGAAACCAGCTAGGTGATCCTGGAGTTAAGACCCTGCTCAGTGGAGTGGCTGATCTTCAAGAGAAAACAGCAGCTTCACCAAGAATGCCAGCATATCCAGGACAGTTTTACTTTCCTGCACCGAGCTTCACCCTCATAGAGCTGGACCTGGGGGGCAACGGAATGGGAAGTGAAGGACTAAGAGTGCTGGGCACTTACATGAGGTATCACTCACAGCTGCAATATTTAGGCCTGGCCCAAACACCTTGCTCTGACATGGAGGCCTGGAATGTCTTGTTTGAAAGCCTGAAGGTGAACGTTAAACTAACCCACATCATTCTAGATGAGAACCATCTGGGAGACCAAGGAGTCAAGCTATTCGCAGAGGCTCTGAAAGTGAATGAAGGCTTACGGAAAGTGGACTTGGACAGTAATGGTTTTGGTGAGGTTGGAGGAAACGCTATCCTTGAGGCACTTCTCGGCAGGAAGCAGTGTTCTCTTGAGCACTTAAGCTTGCAAGAGAATTACATCAGTACAGCACTGATGAGCAAGATACAGCAGGTGGTCCTCCCTTTGTAAAACTGTGGACTTCACATTTCACTTATACCAGCTAATACAGGAAACATGGAGGAACCTGACCCCCAGCACTGACCAAAGAGGAAGAAGAGGAGCTGCGCGTTTGGATGGTTGCCAGCAATTCCAAATGAATTGCTTTATTCAGGCTTCCATCTGCTTGGGAGTTCAGCATAAACTTGGCCAGTAGAGGAAAAGGTTCAGAGAAATATTTGCCTCAGTTCTTGACCTGGACTTTCAACTACAAGCCAGTTGGTTTGCCCCCTCAGCTGCACACCTCCATTAACATAGCTTTGAAGTCAATGACTTTCCTGTGCATCTTACAATCATTGTGAAATTCAGTGAAAGCCACTGAACATATGATTCAAAGACCCCCTTTACTGTAAAGTTTCTTGGTTGAGGGCCACCTACAGCGCAGAACTATTTATCTTCTAGCCCACCCTAACTTGAGTACAAACACTGCTCTTGTGGCCATCTTGGCCATCCTTGATGTTTTTGTTAATGGCTGAGGTACAGTGTGTGTTATTTACATTGGTTCTTAATCTTCAATGTACGAAAGTGCTCCAGTTTAAAGCTGATATAAGCTGAGATGTCTACAGTAAAGCTCAAAAGACCCCCACAAAGACCTTCGTTCGTTTAATTTCAAGTCAAATGGCCATTAAGTACAGTAAACGCACAGAAGGAAGGGAAAAGTAAAATAAGGGAATAAACTGAAGTTTCCAAAACTTATTGAGAAAACAAAATATATCTCAAAAACATGAGATAAACAGTATTTGAAGCTTTTCATGTATGAGATAGGAGACAATCAAGCTCCACTCTTGCTTTAGATCTGAAAAAATCCATAGGTGTTTCTGTTCATCCTTCTACTGTGAGAAGACAACCCAACACTATGAGTGTGAAAGGATGTGTGGCTGTCAAGAAGCTGTTACTGAGAAAAGAAAATAGAAAAATTAGAAGAAAATTTGCAAATCAACTCAAACTAATAAGACCTCAACATCACCAAATGTGTTTGGGATTATTTGGATGGTGAGAAGCAGAATGTGCAACCAACTTCTAAGACTGAACTTTCAGCTGATTCCTTTGAAAAACTGAAAGGAAAAAAAAAAGAATGGAAGCTTTAATAATTCAAAAAGTGGACACACTAAATACTTGCAAAAAGTTGTTGAGGGTTCTGTGTAATTTTCTGTTATATATGTGTTTTCTGATATTTTTCCAGACAATGAAAATTGAATAACTTGTATAACTGTACACTGAATAATCATAGTTTTGTATACTGAGTGATTATAAAGGTGCCCTCCACAAACTAGCAAAGTTAAATATGTTTTATTAGCCAACAGTACAGATACAACAGTAAGATATTTTGCATTGAACAAGCATATCCATTCATTTTCATTTAGCAGACTTAATAAAACTCATGTGCTACCACATTTCACTTACCCTTACATACCTATTCATTACCACTTACATCAGACAGGCAGATTTGAAGAACAAGCAGTCAAACGCTAGAAGAGAGATGGATGTGAGCTTGTTGAAGAAAACGTTAAAACAACAGGGGTGGACAAAATAACAGAAATACTACATGAAAAAAAGACATCAGTTTTGGAGCATTTAGATTACAGTAAAGGCAGCTGACAGTTAGCAGCACCAGCAGTAAAGTATACAAGCCAATCAGATTGCAAGAGGGAAACTTCAAGTTACCTATAAGAACATCATCAGGCCAGTGAGATTGTGGAGGGGAAAAGCTACTAGACAGTCAGATTGCAGAAGCGAAAATTCAATTAGCAATCAGATTGCTGAAGGAAAACCTCACATACCCAATATGATTGCAGGAAAAAACTTTAACTAGCAACACTTTCAAAGGCCTTGTTCAGACCGCCAGCCCAATCCGATTTTTGGCATATCCAGACTGTATCCAGATTGATTTTTGATAGTCTGTACAGCAACATGCAATCCAAACCACATTGGGAGTTGATTTGAAATGCAATTCCAATTGAATTTTTACAGATGTGTCTCAGTCTGGACACTCTGCCTGCTCAGTGTCTTTTGTGTCACTCACAACGCAAAAAACAACGACAGTGTCAAATCCAGAGTGACGTTAGTGCTGGCATTCAAGAAGAGCACCAGAAAAACATGCTTATGCCAACAAATTTTGAAGTCTTTGGAGGGCGAGGTGATGCTCCTCCATCTATCCTGCATCTGTGTTTAAAATCTGTGTTACCAGCTTAGCTATATAGTAACTGATGCCCATGTTGTTATCACAGCAACTGATGCAGGTTGTTGATGTCTGGACTCACAAATCCAATCTGCTCACTTGCAAATAACAACGTGGACAGTTGTCTCAAAAGATCCGATCCGAATGCTTGCAGTCTGAAGAGTAGGAAAGAAAGCTCTACTAGCTAATCAGAAGGCAGGAAATAAAATTCAACCAGCCAATGAGATCACAGGATTGAAAATTTGTTCTACCCAAAATGATTGCAAGAGGAAAACAAGCGAATTAGAGCGCAGGAGAGAATAAGGAGACTCTGTCTGCTGAATTTATACGTCAGTAATCATGTTAATTAGTTAATGCAGTAAGAGACTGTACTGTTTTTTTTTTTCAGCCCAGTTGGCTAAAAGACAGAAATTCAGCAGGTTTATACAAAGAGACTATTCTAATAAGCAAAATGTGAATATTGTAAGAGGGCGTTGAGTCTAGATTTCTCCCAAAAAGCAGACTTTTCTTGTAATGCTTTTTCTTAGGGTTCACAGTGACGCTATTCTTTGTGGCTTTAGCTGAAGGGGAAAATGAAGGGAATTCTGAATTGAGTAAGGCATGTGAAAATATTCAACATAAACATAAAGACATTCTTGCCTTTTCCACTACAAACGGATCTCCATGTAGATCCAATTTCAGTCCTCTTAAGGCCACTTTAGAGTATAAAATAATATTTTTACATGCGTTATTTCATGTCTTAACAAATTAACCATGCTAATCAAGTATAAGCCATGTACTTCCACTTGTTTCAACAAGATGTTTTAAAAAGGAGAAACAGTATTCTTTTCCAAAAATCACAAATACGATTTGGCACCATGCAATCAGATTGGTACACACTCCACAGTATTCAGGCTGAAGTCAACTGAAGAGACAGCCACATGACCAGAGCATAGAATACATCATGATAAACCAAAGATTTTGCTTTCTGTAAAATCAGCAACTGTGATTTGGAAGTCAACTCTAGGCTGGAGGCTGAGTATATGCAGTACAATGCTTTCATTCACAGAGCGGCAATTTGTTCTTCAACATCCATGTTACAGCAGGGCATGGCGTCGTTCCATCAGCGCTGACATTTGGTAAAAATGCTGATCAAAGCTTTTCACAGAAATCATTTCTGCTGAAGGCTGTAATTGAGCCAGCCTAAATCCCTGCTGCATACCCTCTTTAGTCTGTCAGGTTGATCTTCCCCCCTTTATCCCCTGATAAGGATCAGCACAGGACTCTGAGGGTTGAGAGATGATGGATGATGATGAATTACAATGTTTTTTGCATATTCAGGCTGTTTGTGGTGAGTCCTAGACTGTATTCAGAAACTGTGTTGGGGTAAGTACTCAAAAAAAGTACAATCATTACAAATTACTCATTACTTTTCTCAGAGAATAATGGAATTGGGATGCTGTGCAAATGTAAAAAAAATAAATAAATAAAAAGAATGTAATGATGTGCAAATCGTTCAAAGACAAAATTTAATTTCAAATAGTACAAAGACAACATATCAAATGTTGAAATTTTATTGTTTTTCGAAAAATATATGCCCATTTTGAATTTGATGCCAGCAACACGCTTCAAAAAGGGGGGCAACAAAAGACTGGTGAAGTTGTGTAATGCTAAAAAACACGTAGTGGTTAATTGTCAACAGCTTGATAACATGATTGGGTATAAAAAGGGCATCCCAGAGAGTCTGAAAAGTGAAGATGGAGATGGAGATGGGTTCACCTCTCTGTGAAAGACTGCACAGGCAAATAGTGCAACAATTCAAGAATAACTTCTCTCAATGTATAATAGTAAAGAAGTTTTGCTTTTCGTCATCTACATACAAAATATCATTAAAAGATTCAGAGAGTCTGGAGGAATCTCTGAATGCAAGGGAAAAGATTGAAAACCCCTATTTACTGGCCAAGATCTTTGGGCCCTCAGTCAGCACTGCATTAAAAACAGACATGATTCTGTAGTGGAAATCACTGCATGGGCTCAGAAACACATCCGAAAACCACTGTCTGTGAACACAGTTCATCGCTGCATCCACAAATGCAAGTTAAAACAAGTGGAAAAGTTTTCTTATGATCTGATGAATCAAAATTTGAAATTCTTTTTGCACATCATGGACACTGCATCCTTCGGGGTAAAGACCACCCAGCTTGTTATCAGCGCACAGTTTAAAAGCCAGCATCCATGATGGTATGGGAGTGCATTAGTGCACATGGTATGGGTGAAGTGCACATCTGTGAAGGCACCATTAAAGCTGTATGATATATACAGATTTTGGCAACATATGCTGCCATCCAGATGACGTCTTTTTCAGTGAAGGCCTTGATTATTTCAGCAAGACAACATCAAACCACATTCTGCATGTATTACAACAGTATGGCCCTATAGTCTGAGTTAGGGTGCTAAACTGGCCTGCCTGTAGTCCAGATCAGACATCCACTGAAAACATTTGGTGCATTACGAAACGAAAAATACAACAAAGGATACCCTGAACTGTTGAGTAGCTGAAAACCAACATGAATCAAGAATGAGAAAACATTCACTTTTGAAACAGTAATTGGTCCTCTCAGTTCCCCAACAATCCCCAAACATTTTGTTAAAAGAAGTGATGATGCAACCCAGTGTTATGTCCCTGTTCCAACTTTTTTGCAACGTGTTGCTGGCATTAAATTAAAATATAATATATATATATATTTTTCAAAAAACAAGAAAATTTCTCACTTTCAACATTTGATATATCTTCCTTATACTTTTTAAATTAAGC